GGGCTAGAGGAAAGTGGGTGGGGCCATTGTTTCCACATTCTTTCTTCCTTCCCGTATGTGGGGGAAGTGGGGAAATGAGGAGAGAAGCCACACCCAGGCTCCCAACCGTTCCCATACCCTGGGATGGGGGACAACCAGCCAATGGGATGGAAGAGCTGTCTCTCCTTTCTGTAAATCTGCCTTTCCAATAAAAATAAATCTTAATATATATATGTATATATATATATGCATATATATTACTACATTGGCTTTATGCTAGCACTTTTTTCTTTTTGGACTATAACACAGACCCAGCTGGAAAGTTCTAGAGAAATCATCTCTCAGTCGAAAGGGGGAGTGCTCAGCCTCTGGCCACTGGCACTATGGGGTCCCGGGAAGCCCCTCACCTGCCCCCAGAGACCTGGGTGGCCGGGTCCCACGCACCTGCGAGCCGTACTGACTGAGGCTCTCGAAGCCCACGCGCTTGGCCAGGGAGATGCAGGCAATTCTCCGCGGCTGGGTGCAGGCCACGTGGCTGAAGCCGGCGGCCAGCAGGTACTGGGGTACCTGAGTGGACTTGCCGCAGCCCGTGTCGCCGGCCACCACCACCACCTGGTGCTCCCTCAAGGTCTGTAGGATGCGGTGCCCGTACTGGGCTATGGGGAGCGCAGCCCGTTCCCGCTGCAGCTTCGCCAGCCGCGCAAACGCCTGCTTCTGCGCGAAGTCCAGGTAGTGCACCAGTGCACGGCGGAATTCGGACACCCTGGCGGGCGGCAGGCGACGGCCCAGCTCCCGCGAGCCACGCACGTCAGGGCCCAGCACTGAGAGATTGATGCGGTAACGTGCGTCGTAGGTTCGCGGGAGGTCAGCCAGGGCCGGGACACTGGCACGAGGGTGTCCCAGCTCTCGTGTCTCGCTCTGGGGGACCCTGAGGCTCTGGAACCTCTGCAGCCGTTCAAAGAAAGCCCAGAATCGCTGGCACTCCTCGGAGCCCTGCCGGATATAATCCTCATCCCGGAAGAAGGCGTCCTCCAGCAGGCGTCGCGTCTCCGGGCAGTTCCAGTCCCATTTCTCCGGGGCCTCTTCCTCATCGGGAACCCGGCGACGGTGCGCTCGGTGGTCCCTGGCATCCTTTGTCCCAGGAGGAGGCATGCTGCCAGTCACTGCGCCATCATGAAACCAGCCTCGGTGCCCACCACAAAGGCCACCAGACTCTCGGCCATTCCCTGCTTGGGGCACCAAGCAACAGGTGGCCGTACCAGGCAGCACCAACCAAGCACATTCTCTTCCTAGAGCTAGCTCTCCTCCCCGCGCATGGCCGCACGGGTGGCCAGGGGCCTGCCAGAGCTAGTGGCCAGCCACAGGGGGTACCTCGTGATGGCTGCTGGAATGGACGCAAGTTCACCGCAGGGTTTCCTGGTCCTGGAAAGGTGGGGAGAAGACGGAAGACCATCAACCATATTTACCAACCCTTAGGAAAGCCTGTTCCACAGAAAGACCCTCGGAGCCCTCACAGATGGCCGCAGTCTGGGTCTGGGCACTACAAGCAAGGATCCCAGCTAACCAGGGACCCCAAACAGCTGCCTGCCTAGAGGAGAGCCTGGAGCAGGGGACTACAGGTGATGCCTGGCCTGACATCGGAGGAAGGGCAACAGGTGGTATGGCTGGCCAGTGGCAGGGCCTCATGGGGGGTGCGTGGTACCAGCAGGAGGAAGGCACTTCTGGATGCTGGAAGCTTGGCCCTGCTGGCATGTCTCCCGTTGCTAACAGGAACCGCCATCCTCTCCAGCCCACAGGGTTAGACTGTAGGACCACCTGCAACTGAAGTGCTCACCCTTACAAGCCCCAGGATCCCATATGAGCACCGGTCCTAATCCCAGCGACCCCACTTCCCATCCAGCTCCCTGCTGGCGGTCTGGGAAAGCAGTCTAGGAAGGCCAGGAGCCTTGGGACCCTGCACCTGTGTGGGAGACCTGGAAGGAGCTCCTGGCTTCAGATCGGCACAGGCCCAGCCATTGGGGAGTGAATCGCTGAATGGAATGAAATAACTCTTTCTCTTTCCAATAAAAATAAATGTCTAAAAACAAAAGTTCACAGAAATTGTGATTGGTGCAACGAGTGTCTGTTGGTGCAAAAGTTTTGAAATCCACAGTTTTTCTAGAATGCACACGTGCCGTAATCGTGCCAGGTCGTGCACCTGTGGAGCTCGGAGAGGTGCAGCAGAGGAGGCGGCCGACCAGGCTCAGATCTGGGTCTCCCCCATGCCCTCCCTGCACCCGCCACCCACTTGCCCATCCTGCGCCCCCATTCCCGGCTCGCCCATGCCCTCCCTGCACCCGCCACCCACGGGGCCGCCCCACTTGCCCATCCTGCGCTCCCATTCCGGGCTCCCCCATGCTCTCCCTGCGAATCCCAGGCTCGGCTGCCGCCCACGCGAACCCCGAGTCGCCCCACGCCAGGCCTGCCCACTGCCCTCACCTCACTGACCGCCGCCAGGGCTTCCACTTCCGGGTCCCCAGCCGGTCCTGCGCTTGCGCACGCCACCAACTGAGTCAAAACCCCGCCCCCCGCAAACAGAGCAGCCAATCAAGAGCCGCGGGCGGGCCAAAACTCAAACCGTACCTGCGCGCCGCGCGCTCCCGCCGCGGAGACGCGCGCGCTCTTTCGGGGCCGGCGGGCGCGTGGAGGTGAGAGCCGCGTCAGTGTCCTGGGTCGAGGACAGGGTTGGCTTCAAGATTGTTGGCGAAAGGTATGCATGAGGTGCGTAAACATGCGCTCACAGATGCTCAAGACAAGTGTGCGCTTCCTTAAAACATCTATTCCTATTGTATTGGAAAGGCAGAGTTACCCAAAGAGGGAGACAGAGCTAGCTGCTCCTCCGCCTGGTCACTCACACCCCAGAGGGTCACATCGGCCACGACAGAGCTGGTCTGAAGCCAGGAGCTTTCCCCGTGTGCCCTGCGTGGGTGCAGGGGCCCGAGCACGTGGGGCCATCCTCCACTGCCCTCCCAGGCACCTTAACCAGGGGCTGCATCCGGAGTGCAACAGCTGGGACTTGAACGGACCCAACCCTCTGTCACTGCACCCACCCCGGTGTTTTTCCTTTTTTTTTTTTTTAAGATTTATTTATTTCCACTGGAAAGTCAGATACACAGAGAGGAGGAGAGACAGAGAGAAAGATCTTGCGTCCGATGATTCACTCCCCAAGTGATTGCAACAGCCGGTGGTGCGCCGATCCGAAGCCAGGAGCCAGGAACTTCTTCCAGGTCTCCCACATGGGTCCAGAGTCCCAAGGCTTTGGGCCATTCTCCACTGCTTTCCTAGACCACAAGCAGGGATCAGGATGGGAAGTGGGGCCACTGGGATTAGAACTGGCGCTCATATGGGATCCTGGCATGTCATGTGCAAGGCAAGGACTTTAGCCACTAGGCTATAGTGTGCCAAGCCCAATAAATCAATCTTTTTTAAAAAGATATTTTTAAAAATCTACCTTTGCAATATCTTTAGGAAAGAAAGAAGAGACAACTAAATAGACCTTGCAAATAAAAACAAATCTTTTTTAAAAGGACATCATTACAATTAGTTTTGCGAAAACCTCAGAAAATCAGTATTTTATTTTTTTTTTTAAAAAGGACCCAAATAAATAAACTTAGAAACAACAAAGGAACAATTAGAACTACAACAAAATTAATTTCTTTTTTTAGTGATCCGGGGAATCTTAACTAAAGCTCACAAGAAATACATTTGACAGGTCCCGTCACTTTTTTTAACAAACCAACAAACAAAAAGGCTAATTATGAGACACTCTCGCTCTGAAAGAATTTTGGAGAAAACAGAATAGAGAATGTGTGGAGGCCGACTGGCCAGGTGCTCCCCGGGTGTTTGCACGAAGTTGATTGAGATGGCAAGAAAACCATGCCCTCCTCTGTCAAGGAGCTGGTGGGCTGCCAGGAAGGCAGTCGGGGGTCTGGGCCTTGTGTGAGAGGAGAACCAAAGATCAGAGGGCTCCAGCGCTGTCCTTGGGCAGTGAATAACACATCTCTGGGACCGAGGAGGGGGAGCATGAATAATCAGGGAGGGCTCCTTGGAGGAAGTGTCATTTGGGGGAAAAGGGACCAGCTCGAGCATGAATGGTGGCCAACATTGGAGTCCAGTTTGTCCCGATTCCTGGCTGAATGGTCTCAGGCAGACCATGGTCCCCTCCCTGGGCCTGGCATCGCAAACACCACACAGTCCGCCTCGGTAGCATGCTGGGGGAATTCTGGGTCAGATGCTTTCCTGGAGTAGGGAAGGCAATCCTCATCCCCCTGCCATGTGATAGACAAGCCCCCCCCCCCTCGCAGCAAGCTGGTGGCTATGTCCTGTGACTGTGTGAAGGGGCAGGTGGTTAAGCCCCCAGCCGCGTCCCCTGGGGTTAATATGAACAGTCACTGATAGGACCAGGCTGCCCAGCCAGATGAGGTAGACCAGAAGGCCGAGCCTCAGGCACTACCTTTAAAGTCCAGAAGCATAAAAACAGAGCAGACAGGAAGTTCCTTAGACAACCACACCAGGGCTTCTCTCGGCTTTAGGAGGCACCAGGAATCCAGAGCGAGGTGCCCACGCATCCTTCCCTGGGCTTTGGAGGTTACCTGATGTCAGTCTGTCTCAGCCTCAAGGTTGCCCACACTCCCTACACTCGTGGTCAGCACTGTGGCCACTGATGAGGGTCATCCCACCTGCTTCTTAGAAGGCTCCCATAGGGCTGACCCGGCCCAGTGCCTCCACCCTGGGGGACCGTTACTCTGTCTGCTACAGCAGCTGAGACATTAATGCCTTTCATCTGGAATCAATAGACTGCCCACCCCGTGCTCTCTCACCCTATCGCAGTCGCCACTGCCTCCTGCTCAGACCTACGAGTAGCGGGCTCACCAGGCACATCCTTCCCCGCTTCCCGCACCTCCAGCGGCCAGCGGCAGGATCTGATGAAAGTGTGAAGGACCCTTCTGTGCTTACAGTCAGTTCCTTCATTAGCAAACAAAAAATTGATATACAGAAGCTCAATGACATTTGAACTTCAGATAATTGGCATTTTATTGTTTAAAAAAAAAAACCCCAAGAACGACATTCGGTCTAAGTATATCCCAAATGCACCTGTGCTAAAGTTCTCTCCTCTGAAATTCAAACGTAACAGTCACTTGTATTTCATCCAACCACATCCCCATCCCCAGTGGACGCTAACAGTGGCCAGGGCCTAGAAGGTTCTAAATCCGCCCCGCATACCCACTCCTGCTCTCTTGGCACCAATCTGCCCTTCATGCTCTTCTTGCCCCTGGATTGGCTAAGGAGGTCTTGTCCATGGGAATTTTTGTACCCTGTCTGGATGACCCCTCTTGCCCCACCCAGCCCTCTTGGGCCCCTCAGAATCCCCCCTACTCTTGCGTCTGTCTCTCCCCTTCCCTCCCCCCTATAGTGTCAGCTCCCAGAGCACAGGTCTGTCTTGTTCGCTGTCATTGTCCTGTGCCTGTATCCGGACCTTGCACACAGCAAGGATAGCATTGAGTTGCCGGACGCCATCATGCCTGAAGCCAGATTTGCAGAATGGGCTAGGCAGGGAGAAGGCAGCGTCTGCCTAGCCTACACCCGTATCTCCGACACCGGCTCCTGGCTGGAGAAGGTCTTGCTAATGACACTTGCGTCCTGGCCCTGCGTATCCCTCAGGGCCCAGCGGAAGGCAGCTAGCAGCGACTGTCGGAGCTGAGCCCTCCCAAAGTACAGAAAAAGCAGGGGGTTGAGGCAGCTGTGGGCAAGGGCAAGGCCCACCACGAAGGGTTCCACCTTCAGGGCCCGAACCAGGAGCTTGGAGACTGGGTGGGCCTTGGACATGACCAGCCCCAGCAGTTGGTAGGGGGTCCAGCAAACAAAAAAACCAACGATGACAGCCATGGCCAGTGACCGCTGCCGTCGGTTCCCTCGACAAAGAAGAGTCCCAAGGGAGCCGGCTACAATCACCAGTGGCCCCAGGAAGCCGCCCAAGAACCGCGTGGCAGCCACGGCATTCTCAGTCACCACCGAGCCCCCGTAGTCCACCACGCATTCCAGCCGGGCTGGGAAGTGCTCCTGGTGCAGCCGCCGGTGGATGGCAGAAGGCACCGTGAGCAGCAAGGCCAGCACCCAGGCTGCCCCGCAGGCCACCTGCACCCCACGGGCCCGCCACGTTGCCATCTGCCAGGAAGGCCGGAGCACCAGCAGGCAGAGGTCAGCGCTGAGGGCGGTCAGGAGCAGGACGCTGGCATACATGGACAGCAACATGACAGAGGACAGTGCCCGGCAGCCCACAGCCCCGTACGGCCAGTGGCCGCCCTGGGCTATGGGCACGGCCAGGATGGGCAGGGACAGGCAGCACAGCAAGTCTGCCACGGCCAAGTGGAGGAACCAGGGGGCCCCAGCCGACCGACCGGCCTCCTTCCAGGTCACCCAGATCACCATGGCATTGCCCGGCACGCCCACCAGGAAGATGGCGGCATAGAGCACGAGAGGGGCCACATGGCGCGAGTTGTGGGAGAAGCACATGCCACTTGGGCAGTCCACAGGGAGATCCAGAAATTCGCCATAGTCCCCGTACTCATAGGTCAGCGATGCGTTCTCCATCGGGGCCGCGGTTGCCTGGTCAGGGAGAGAAACGCGAGGGGGACGTTAGCAAGGGGACCCTGACCCCAGTGCCTGGAGGACTCCTAGCCGAGGGAAATCTTGCAATTCTGGAATGTGAAACCAGGGGAACGCTAGCCCCGGATGGACTCAGGTTTCCTGAATGGTGTTGTCCAGTAAGACGGACATTCCAGCATCCATGGAAATAAATGTTTCCCACCTGGGCTGCCCGGTATGCTGGCTACCAGCCACCCATGGCTGTGGGATGTCCAAAACACACCCAGCAGGGGTCGGTCGGCAAGTGGCACAGAGTTCAAACTCCACCCATGACACCAGCATCCCAGGCAATCCGGCTCCCCGCTGGTACACCTGTGGAGACAGCCACAGGTGGAGCTCCTGGCTCCTGACCTCAGCTAGTCCCAGTCCCAGCTAATAGAGCCCTTTGGGGAGTGAATCAGCAGGTGCAAAAAAATGCCTCTTCGTCACTCTGAGAGAATAAATCAATCTTACATGGAAAAAATGCAAGCTAGAGAGAGTAGGAAGGGAGCAGGATAGTTTGGAGGGTTGGAGTTCACAGCCTGAACACACCCAGGAAACAGCCGCCCAAAGCCCACAGAACATTCTAGGACCTGTCTAGAGCCCCTGTGCGCTCACTTGCTCGCCCGCCTGCTCAGCGCCGTCTCCAGCTCCTCCGCTGCGTCTCGGTCCTTAATAGGCGCCGCGGGAAGTGTGTGCAGGCTCCAACTCTGTACTCCGGCACGCACGCCCAGCACTGACCAGGCACAAGGCTAGGGACACACACTGGTGTTTCCTGGGAGTTGGGTTCCTGGGGGCGGAGTGAATCAAGAGATAAGCAAACACACGGGATTCCAGGAGGACAGATTTGCTATCTCGGGAGGTGGGAGGGGCTGCACTTGAGGAAAGTGGCAGGGTGGAGGGGGAGCCGGAGAGGAGGGCTGGCCCAGGCGAGGAGAATGGTGACCTGGTGACCGGAAGCCAGAGAGGGCAAAGGTGATCCAGGGTTGCCTTTCCCCCGGGGCTCAATGACTTTATCTTTCACTCCCATAGCAGAGGGAGTCACATGAAGATGTTGCCCTGAGAAACAGCTTACTGCATCACAGCCGAAATGGCCTCTGGCCGAAGCCACCAGCCAGACTACACCTGCGTCATACACTAGCCCATCAGACTGACAGAGAGAGAGAAAGATCTTCCACCTGCTGGTTCACTCCCCTAGTGGCCCCAGTGGCTGGAGTTGAGCTGATCCAAAGCCAGGAGCCAGGAACTTCCTCCAGGTCTCCCATGCGGGTGCAGGGTCCCAAGTCTTTGGGCCGTCCTCGACTGCTTTCCCAGGCCACAAGCAGGGAGCTGGAAGGGAAGTAGAGCAGCCATGACATGGACAGGTGCCCCTAAGTAATCTTGGCGCTTACAAGTTGAGGATTTAGCCATTGAGCTATGGCACTGGGCCCTCCAGGTGGCGTTAGACACAGCTTGTCCCCATCCTGACTGCGATAGTATTTTGTACCCATCCTGCAGATGCAGAAGCTGAAACACAAGGAGGGTGAACTCACCTCAGACTGCCTGGCCACATACGTAACAGAACTGGGTTGCAAGCTGCATGAGCCCCACTCTGCCACTGCAGGCCCTAGAGTGAGGGCCATGTCCCCAGCCCTAGACACTGAAGAGATAAGAGCTTCTGCCAGACCACAGGGACAGGCCTGAGGGGCAGCTGAGTCGTCAGGGCAAACCCACCTGTCCAGACTGGGGGAAGCCGAGGAGCCAATGGCTGTACAGGGCAAGGACTTGGGCAGGTCCAGCATGCTCAGAGCTCGGTCCTCTGCTCTCCTGTTACTCTCTTGCCTACAACAAAGTAGGCTCTGTCTTTAAAAATAGAGGCCTGGGGGGTGCAGCAGCCTAATGGCTGAATCCTTGCTTTGAATGCCCCAGGATCCTATATAGGTGCCAATTCATGTCCCAGCTGCTCCACTTCCCATCCAACTCCCTGCTTGTGGCCTGGGAAAGCAGTCGAGGACGGCCCAAAGCCTTGGGACCCTGCACCCGCGTAGGAGACCTGGAAGAAGCTCCTGGCACCTGACTTCAAATCAGGTAGCACCAGTTGTTGCGACCACTAGGGGAGTGAACCAGCAGATGGAAGATCTTTCTGTCTCTCCTGCTCTCTGTAAATCTGACTTTCCAATGAAAAAATAAATAAATAAATATTTTAAAGAAAACTGAAGCCTGAAACCTCTGCCTACAAAGCTGGTATCCCATTCAGGCACAGGTTCAAGGCCCCGCTGCTCTACTTCCAAATCCAGCTCTCTCTCCTTGTCTCTCTCAGTAACACTGCCTTTCAAATAAATCAATCTTAAAAACTGGAAACTCAGCCATTCTCACACACTGGTGAGCTGACCAGGTGGCCCCAGGGGGTCTGAGGGTGCGGGCCTGGGTCGGAGGAGGGCAAGGGGCGTAGACTGGTAGGGCATGTGGGGACGTGGGAGCTCACCTCTAGGAGGTGGAGCGAAGCTGAGGATTTCCTGGGCAAGGTGATGAGAGGAGAGGGATAGAGCCGCAGTCAGCACGCTGCCCTGGTGTGCTGATGGACCAGACCTGGAGAACCTCGATGGATCTGGATCTTGGGTGCGTGAAGGGGTAAGGCACAAGGATAGCACATGTGCCAGGAGCTTGGGACTAGGTGGACAGGCAGAGCTCTGCACCAGCACACCACACACTGGACTTTGGAAGTCTGGGCTGGAAAACCCATGCGCTCCTGGGCACAAGGGTTGTGGATTGATTAGGGAAAGGAGCAATGGGATATGGGGGAGGGAGGACCAGTATGGGAGTATCTTGCAGTTGAGGAATGACTCCTGAGAGACTCCCAACAACAAGGTCATTGTACTTGCAGGTAAACAAGGGGACTGAGACCTGGTGGCTTGGGAGGGAGAAACTCAAAGATGTTTATGGGTCAGACTGATGCGACAACCAGCACACCAGGAAGACCTGAGCTGGGCTTGTTAGCATGGAACATTGCTGACCACCACATGCCAGCCCACATAAAAGCTAGGGCTGGGGTCCTGTCTGGCAGACCTAGATCCCAGTACCTGACAGTGAGTGTTGGAACAGGGGACAGGTCACATTAGGCTGGGCCATGACACTAACCAGCACGCAGAGAATCAGGTCTGGGGGTAGGTTCTGTGGAGAGTATGTAACCCTGTGGAATTACAAGTCCCACCAGCTAACTTTAGAGTTGGGGTAGTGATGGACTGAGCTCAGCATAACCATGGAACCCACTGACTCTGGTCCTGGGGCTGGGAACAGGCAGGGCAGGTCCAGTCTGCAGCACCCACATGCACACACTAAAACAGGGTATCGGGTAGGTTTGGCCGCATCATCCACCAGCCCATACAAAGGCTGGGATGGAGGGAGCAGACTATGCCGAGTAAAGGCCTAGTATCCACTGGCATGCATGAGTTCTGGGTCCGGGAATGGACTGAGTGGGGGAACTTGGGAAACCCCTAGTGGGTCAAGCTCCTGCTGGTGAGCACGTAGTCCAGGCCTGGGTGTTTGGCAGGCTGGGCAAGGTGGCTCCATCCATTGGCAAATGTGTGAGTTGGTTTTGGAAGGAGGCACGCCGGGCAGGGCCAAGCAAACCTTAGCTCACCAGCAAGTGCAGAAACCAGGCTAGAATACAGGTCATGCCAGGCTAGGCTGTCGCACCTACTGGTTTGCATGAGCCAGAGAAGGGAGCAGACGACGGAGCAGGGCCAGGTTGTAGCACCCACCAGGGAGAGTTGGTATTGGGGGCTGTATGGATCAGGCCATGTTACAGCATCTGGAGGCAAAGGCCAAGGCAGGTGAGGGGCTATGCCAAACCGGGTCAGAGCAACCACTGGCACACACAAGATCTGTGACTGGGAATAGGCCTAGTTGGGGCGCTAAGGGGACACCATGGCTGGAATAGGGGGCTGCAATCTGGTCTAGACATGGCTGCGGTGTCCCTTGGCTTGAGTATGGCCTGAGTTTGGGATGTACCTTACTGGTCTAAACACTATCACCCACTGGTGCTCGTGAGAACCACTGTGGACGTAAGACAGGCTGGGCTGTCTCTGCTCCTGCTGAGCCACGCATGAGCTGTGTCTGGGTGTGGACCAGGCTTGGTTGGGAAGAAGGGGCAGGGTGGACACACCCGTACTGCCATCAGAAAGCCTGGGTGCAGGCCTAGGATGCCAGCTTCCTGCAAGTGCGTCCCCTGGGAGGCAGCAGGTCCTGGCCTGCCAAGCTGCCCACTGAGGACTAAACCAAGGGTTAGGATCTGCCTGCCTCGCAAGTCACAAAGGAAACTCAAGAGAAGCAAGAGCCGGCCAGCACGGGAGCCGGCCAGCACGGGAGCCGGCCAGTGCAAGAGCCAGCCAGTGTGGTGGCGAGTCGGCTGCTGTTATCACAGCCACACACGGCCTGTCCAGCTCTGCCCCAGCTGATTAGGTGGCTGTCTGTACCTGGGGAACTTCACCCTGACATTATTTTCTGCTTTGTTTTTTATTTGAAAGGCAGTGTGACAGAAAAAGAGAGAGAGAGAGAGACAGAATCTTCCATCTGGCTACTCCCCACATGGCCACAAAAGAAGCTGGATTAGAAGCAGAGCAGGCAGGAATCGAACTACTGCCCACATGGCACCCTGGCTCTTGAAGGCAGAGGATTAGCTAATTGAGCCATCATGTTGGGCTCTGCTTTTTTTTTTTTTTTTTTTAATCAGTAAAGTACAGATGATGTTGGCTGAACGTCTGGCTACGCACCAGACATGACCTCAGCGACAAGCTCCCAGGATGACTGGCGCTGTGGCGTACAGGTCCCAAAACTCAAGAGGTTGTGATCTCATAATAACCCCCCTACAGCCCACCCCAGCCCCAGCTCCCCTTTATACATACTGCGTTCATACATCGACAGCACAGCCTGGCACACAGGTGCACAGGCGATGTGTGAGGAGTGAAAGGGGAAACTGAGTCTGGGGAGACTAAGGGGTCACTTGTTTTCACAAGATGACAGCACTAGTCTTGCCGGAAGGTTTGCCCCAGGCAGACCCAGTGCTCCCCAGAGGGCTGATGCTGGAATGCCCCAGCTACCCAGCTGGGAGGCCTGCAAACATTCATCCCCTGGGCAAGGAACGCCCATCCCCCGGGGTCCACAGTAGCAAAAGAAACAGCCAGGCTCGCAAGGCTGGTCCTGCGGCTGGGGATTCCTGTATGTTTAACATGTGTCTGTGCTACTCCTCCCGATAAAGTTGAAGGTGCCAAAGGCAAGGACTGAGCCAAGATGGGACAGGGCACACGCAGCTCTGGGAGCCGGGTGTGTGACAAAAGGCTCTGACCTCTGCCCCCAGGGAGGGGGTCGCTGGCTGCGCTGGAATTCATCTCCCAAATCCCCACTCCTAGCCCCTCAGAGGTCAGTGTGTCCCTCCCCAGTCACAGGCCACTTACCATCTGCGACAAGCAGGTCCCTGGATCTGGCCACTTAGGAGCAGGAGTCCGGAATGCTGGAAGTCGGGAGGGTCGGTCCCCTGCACCTGCAGCCAGTGGGGCCCAGGGCTCCCCGCGTTGGCCACTCTCTGGGCTCTGCTGCCCGCTGCATCCCCAGCCAAACTTTTCAGGACGGATGGGAAGCCAGGAAAGGCTTCTCCCACGCACAGCAGGGTGTGTTTGCCCGTCTTCTTTCCGTGAGTCACAGGTCCCCAAATTACAGGCAAGGCTGGCCAGGGCTGGACTGCACTAGGCAAGCGGAAAGCTGACCTGCGGCCGCAGCCCTCATCTGGGACTCCCCT